AGAGTTAACCCTCTTGGCAGTTCCTCAGATGTGCGCGGGTGTGTGTGTGGTCTTGGAAAGGGCCTTCTCTGTGACAGCCTCTAGCCTGTGGCATTCCCTCCCCATGGAGGTGTGTCTGGCCACCTTCATTATACAGGTTTCACTGAACACCGAACACACCCCTTTACCCTGGCTTTTGACACTTGTTGTTGTTTAGTCGTTTAGTCGTGTCCGACTCTTCGTGACCCCATGGACCAGAGGATGCCAGGCACTCCTGTCTTCCACTGTGTTCCGCAGTTTGGTCAAACTCATGTTGGTAGCTTTAAGAACACTGTCCAACCATCTCGTCCTCTGTCGTTCCTTCTCATTGTGCCCTCAATCTTTCCCAACATCAGGGTCTTTTCCAGGGAGTCTTCTCTTCTCATGATGTGGCCACAGTATTGGAGCCTCAGCTTCAGGATCTTTCCTTCCAGTGAGCACTCAGGGCTGATTTCCTTAAGAATGGATAGGTTTGTTCTTCTTGCAGTCCATGGGACTCTCAAGAGTCTCCTCCAGCACCATAATTCAAAAGCATCAATTCTTCGACAATCAGCCTTCTTTATGGTCCAGCTCTCACTTCCATACATCACTACTGGGAAAACCATAGCTTTAACTATATGGACCTTATTTTTACGACCCACCTGCTTTCTCCGATTGTAAATTTTTGTTGTTTTTAAAACTGTTTTCAATACTGTGTTTTAATGGTTGTAACCCAACCTGAGATCTTATGGAGAAAGTTGGAACCTCTATCTCTATATGAATTGTGGCCAGTTCTTCTTAGAGCAGACCCACTGGAATAAATTAACATGGCTAATGTAAGACCATTAATTTAAATGGGTCTACTCTAAAGTGTAATTGGCTATAGGCCATTATAGCCAAGGACTATAATAGCCATTATAACCATTATAGCCTTTGCATTTACCTGTCCCCAAGCAAAGGGCGCAGACAACACAGCTTAGGAAATAAGCCCATTTAGCAGAAGGGTCCTGCAGTTGAGGCTCTGTTGTCTCGCGGACGGAGTTATCAAATACCACCACAGCGACCAGCACACAGATCCCTACAAGAAACAGTGGATTAGGGTCCATTCAAATATTATATTTGGTTAGTCCTGCAAATGCAACAGTGCTCGTGGTGAATGGATGGTCTTCACACACTATTCTCCCTGGTGTGCTGTGGTTCTTTTTTAGCTATCCAATTTATACCCCACCCTTCCTTCTAACGGAGCCCAGGACGGCAGGTTAGCATTTATGTATTCATTTATTGCATCTTTATCCCACCTTTTTCCTCTAAGGAGCTCAAGGTGGAATACATGGTTCTCCCTCTCCTCAAATACTCTTCACAACAACCCCATGTGGTAGGTTCGACTGAGAGGCAGGGAATAATAATAATAATAATAATAATAATAATAATAATAATAATAATTTGGTGAGGGGCCCAAAACAGCCTCAGCCCCTAGGAGCTAGCAGTTATGGAATTTAGCAGTTTGCTTTTGCCTTCTCCCCCATTCCCCATTTCCTCATGCGTTGTGTCTTTTTAGATCAAGAGTCTGAGGGAACCGGCCATCTTAGAACTGGTGTTTGTAAGCCACCCTTGAGAATTTTTTTGGCTGAAAGACAGGCATAAATGCTATAAACAAACAAATAAATGTCCTGTTTTCAGAAGGCAGTTCTCGAGTACTTGTGCTCCCCCTGCTCCCCTCCAGTTTCCTTGCTTTTGTCCCCAAAAGCAGCTACATCCCGTTATTGTTGTTGTTTAGTCGTTTAGTCGTGTCCGACTCTTCGTGACCCCATGGACCAGAGCACGCCAGGCACTCCTGTCTTCAGCTACATCCCAGTTGGACACAAATGATTCCTCTCGAAATTGGTACCTGAGGTCAAGCTGAAGACAGCCGCCATAGGGCCATCCATGAAAAAGTCCTCAGTGCAGTTCATCCAGTACTTCGATTCCACAGAGCACAGTATGGCCAGAAGGGAAAAAAAGAGAGCCACGAGCATAAAGCTCCGGACGACGTCCAGTTTCACTAAAGTGGAATAAGAGACTTGTAAAAATAGCTGAGGGTGGTCCCAGGCAGCTCTTCCCCACCCAAACAACGGCACCCAGGAAACATGGAGAAAGTCTCTCCTTTCTGCAACCCAAATTCTGTGACTGGGAATAAAAGGACATGAAATTTATGGATGCCTCCAGATCATCAGTGTTTTTGCAGGAGGGACTCAAGAGCGTGCCACAATGGTAGGTTGCGACAATTAAAATATAGGGCCACATTCACGCCATACTTTTAAAGTACAACAAAAACACTTTAAACAGTCATGGCTTCTCTCTCCGCCCCCTTAGATTTCTGGGAGTTGTAGCTGGAAGGGTGTTGGAAGTTATTTGGAGACCTCTTATCCCCCTCACAGAGCTGCACTCGTTCAGCTGCTATGGTTGCAGAGATAAATGAATAGTGGAATAATAATGGCAACAGCGATTTGCAATGACATAGTAAAGCACTTTCTGCAATAAATGCACCTTCGTGATTGTATAATAATAGCAAATGTCGATCATATCAGTTAGTCAGAATAAACATGGGCAGGATCCAGTCAGGGGTGTATAGGGAATGATCTTAATTCAGCTCATGTGCTTTGAACATGAATAGACTGGCCAGCCCATTCTGTTGAATGGCAGAATTTCCTTCAGAAATGTTTGATTCTGCATTTTTTTTACTGATGTTTAATATGCTGTAAACCACTCTGAGATTTTTCTGAAAAATATAAATAATATATAATAATAATAATAATAATAATAATAATAATAATAATAATATCCTAAAAAATCTTTACAAAAAACCCCAAGCAACTATAAAACCCATAGAGTCAGCCTAAGAGCCTTCTGGGTTTTCCTTTTCCATTTTTGTTTGTTTGTTTGTTTGTTTGTTCTTTAAAACAAATAACAAAAAGATTTTTAGCTGTATCTATGAGGGAAGCTATCTTTTTTTTCTGTCACAAGTCACTAGTAGCAGCACCCATAGTATGTGTGCATGTGGAAAGAGGAATTCCAAGCCTGAGGGAAACAGCAGCGGCAATGTCTGTTGAACCCAACCTCACCCAGCCCAACCCAGGCATACTGTACATTCTCTGATGGCCAAGAAACTGCAGCCATCTTCTGTGCAGGTGGTCCATAAACCAGTGTATGAGGCTTCCAGAATATCTGTTTCGTGCACTGCCCACCCAGAGGATGCTTGAGCAACCAAGAGAAGCACAAAACTGATGCAGGAAAGGACGCAGCTAATTCCCCTGTAGAGAAGCATGGTGGGGTTCCTTCTCCTGATCTTTGGCGCTGGCAGCAGCCTGAAGAGGCCGGGAGGCTAGTGGTGGTGCTAGCGAGGCCACCCCAGGGGGCTCCGAGGAGATCACTGTGATCCAGTTTCCGCCAGACAAAGTGCTCCTCAAACAGTTTCTACTGGATTCCTCTGTTCCGTTCCTTCAACTGAAATGGAACCTTTGAAGTGGGTGGGAGAGAACCTTCCTCTGGGAGTAGCTAGAAGTTCAGTATTGGACGAATCTGTCCATTTCAGTTCGTCTTGGCTACTTGTTTCCTCTGAGCTTAAGTTCAGCTCTCCACAATTCAATGGATCAGTTTGTGACTCATTTACTGGACTATAGTTCTCTTGGAAATTCAACCAGGCACCTTCGTGTGAAAGGCTCAGGATATACAGCTCCCCCTTTTTTTCAAACACATTTCCCTGAACATAATGCATTTTTTGGTATGTTATTTTCACACTTTCCCCTAAGGTATTCATTAAAAATAAATAAATTATTGGATTGAAGAACTGCATTGCAGCAGTTGGAAAAGTGAGAATTTTGAAGGAGGTTGCATTTCTGGTTACATGTTGTTGTTGTTGTTGTCCGACTCTTCGTAACCCCATGGACCAGAGCACGCCAGGCACTCCTGTCTTCCACTGCCTCCCGCAGTTTGGTCAAACTCATGCTGGTAGCTTTGAGAACACTGTCCAACCATCTCATCCTCTGTCGTCCCCTTCTCCTTGTGCCCTCCATCTTTCCCAGCATCAGGGTCTTTCCAGGGAGTCTTCTCTTCTCATGAGGTGGCCAAAGTATTGGAGCTTCAGCTTCAGGACCTGTCCTTCCAGTGAGCGCTCAGGGCTGATTTCCTTCAGAGTGGATAGGTTTGATCTTCTTGCAGTCCATGGGACTCTCAAGAGTCTCCTCCAGCACCATAATTCAAAAGCATCAATTCTTCGGCGATCAGCCTTCTTTATGGTCCAGCTCTCACTTCCATACATCACTACTTGGAGCAGGAACCGGCAAGCCACTCCAGTATCCTTGCCAAGAAAACTCAACGGACAAAGACAACATATTGTTGTAGGGTTTGTTAATTATGGGTTTCCACAATAAAATGTGAACCAACTGAATCCGCCCATCCATATTTGTTTGTTGCATTTATACCTCATCTTGTCCTTCAAGCTTAAGGTCGTACACATGGTTCTCCCCCTCCTCAACTAATCCCCACAAAAATCCTGCAAGGTAGGTAAAAGTAAAGGGACCCCTGACCATTAGGTCCAGTTGTGACCGACTCTGGGGTTGCGGCGCTCATCTCGCTTTATTGGCCGAGGGAGCTGGCATACAGCTTCCGGGTCATGTGGCCAGCATGACTAAGCTGCTTTTGGCGGTTAAACTAAAAGGCAGGGACTGGCCCAAGGTGACCCAGAGAGTTTCCTGGCCAAGTGGGGATTTGAACCTGCTTTCCCAGGTCCTAATTCAACAATTATTGAAGGGGCAAAGGCACCACAGCTGTTAGGAGTTGGCTCCTATGGGTAGATAGACTGCATGGGAACTGGCAAAGTGGTTGCACTAGTGACGTGGTGTTTGCATGTTAATTATGAATTTCAAAATAACACACCATTAAAAATTGAAACTGCACATACATAAACCATACAATAAACCACATGCATGAGAATTATATTTATAGAATATAATGCAATCTAAACATTAGAAATATGTGTCCATATGAGTTCTGCCAAGAGAAATATATTGACTGATTTTAACAAAGAGGAGAAGAGTTCAGGTGGGAGAGGGGTATTTCACTGAAGAGGAAAAATATCTCCCCAAGTAATGTTCTTTCCAGGATTACTGAGCAGCACTGAGACACAAAGGGATTACTCAGCAGTGTCCAAAGTGTTGTAGGCAAAAAGAAGTTTTTTTGATGGATTGCCCTGTCAAAATGAGTCCAGGCAGAGGAGATCTCAAAGGAGATGAAGATTGTGACGTGCCCTGCTTGAGGTCACTCCACAGCCTCACACGTCCATGGAGCAAATAGGTCTGCGGGTTTAGAGTCCACTTTGTTCGGAGAGCGATGGAGCTCGCAGGCCTTGGCTTCTAGGCTGTCTCATCCGGCTTTTGTGTATCTTCAACACGGCCTGAGCTTGCAACCTCCCAGAGTGAAAACTTGTGGACCAAACCATTGTAAACAGCTGGAAGAGAAAGCAGCAAAAAGAAATTGGAAATTGTTTCTTTTGCTTTCTTATATTACAAAAAGAACAAAAAGCCAGCATTACTACAAAACCCAACCTCCTATGTGGTGGTCGAATTACATCAGAACTTATTTCTCCTTAAGTTGCCGTATTCCAGTTAACGTGGCAGCTCCCATTACCACATGCAAACATAGCAACCGAAATATTTTATAACGTGGAGGAGGTCTCACATTCTCCTCTTTTGCGCCGTGCATAATAATGTCTTTCCGTTAGAAATTGTGAGGGACACTCAGGGCACTTCCAAATGAACTGTGTATTGAGCATAAGGAAGTAAGAAAAAGGTGTGCTGGGTCAGTCTAGAGGCCCATGTAGCCCACCATCCTGGTCTGAGAGTGGCCAACCAAAGGCCTAGGAGAAACCATCAAGCACAAGAGCACACTCCACACTTGATATTCCCAGCAACTGGAGGTAGGACATTCATCCAGATTTGTTTTCAGGGAGATCAGGTGATGTTGGCTACTGAGTTAGCATTTATGCTGATTTGTTTGTGGGGAGCTGAGATGACGTTTATGCTGCATTTCTCCCATCAGTTTTCTTATCACCAAAAGTCTGATCTTCGGGAGAAGCCGGTTTGTTGCAAAAGATGTCCAGCCCCCCACTGATACTTACCTGCCAAGAAGGAAAAAGCAGAGGTGAAACAGCTTAAGTAAAAAGCAATTTTCCCAGAAGGATGTGCGGAGTCTGATTTCCGATCAACTTGGACCCCAAATACCACCACAGCAATTAGCGAACAGATTGCTACAAAACACAGAGGAGATACTTAGAATTTTGATAAGTGATGGAGAAATCTGTTGTTTGACTCCAGCTCCCATAATCCTTGACTGTGGGCCATGCTGGCTGGAGCTGGTGGGGGCTGAAGTCCAACAAAATCTGGAGGGCCACAGGTTCCCCACCTCTGGCCTGCTTGTGATATTATTAGAGACCTGAAAGAGGGGGAATTCTTAGACTCTAATGCATGGTCCCTAAGTATAATTTTGAGGCAGAGTGTGCATGAAAGTGCTTATATTAACGGGAGGGGCAGAAGATACCCAAATGTATTATGTTTGGGGAATTTTTTTTTTTTGCAAATATGTTTGCTCATGAATTTTCATGATTAAAAAATAGCAACAAAAGCTAATATGGAAATGGGGTGAACTGAAAGATTGGAAAAACGTGAATCTGACAGACAGGACCTTCCTACTGATGGCCCCTTGGCTCAAACACAGCGTCTTGGGGGGCTAATTTCACCTTTTCTCCACCAGCCTTTAGAAAGATTATCAAAACTGTTCTGTTTAGATGTGCTTTATATTATACATGACCCTCAAAGTTTTAGAATTCTGCTTTTTCAAAAAAGTAAGGTTGCAATTCAACCCTTTGCTGCAACTGGGGTGAGGTGGAGCTTGGATGGGACATAGGTCTCCCCACCTCTGCCAGTCCAACACCGATCTGCTGGCCTCTGTCCATGGAGTGATGCAGCCATCACGCCTCTGGCACTGAGCTTCCAGGTCTACACAATAAAATGGTGGCTGGGTGGAAGTTCCAGTGGAGGGAATCTAACCTGTGGCAGCCTGGCAAAAGCCCTCAATGAGATTATGCTGTGTTCTGGTCTGATGACAGGACCAATGTGTGGATTTCTGTATCGCAGACAGCTCCAAGCGAGCAACGTAATCCAACAAACCCAACAAAGGCACAAAGCTACACCTGCAGCAACTGCAAGCTGGCTTCCTCGTTGGAAGAAAAGGTACAGCACCCTGAGGTCCACCTATCCACATTTCAAGCTACTGGCCAAGATGTGGAATTTCTCAACAGAGCAGAGTCAACTGTCCTGGAACAGTGGCACAGGCAAGCTGCCCCCAGGGAGGAGGAAGATTGCTTGTTGCAGGTGATGAAGCCCTGGAGGAAAATGGCACATGGAAGCAGGACTGCCAGGAGCCATGCTGTGTCACTGGAGCTGCGAAATTGGTTCCATGCCATCACGTTGGACACCAAAGGAGCAAGGACAGCAGTTGCAGACCTCTGAATACACCAAGGTGGTTGTGGAAGCCATAGTGTACCAAACTATTCCTGCCACTACCCAGAGGAGGAAGAGATGTTTCACTGCTCTTCCCTAAAAAACAGCTGCATCACCAACGGGGGGGGGGGGGAGCACACGATGCCGGTGGGGTGCTATCGCGGCTGCCCTCCCACACGGGGTGCCCTGCCCCTCCACAGGTGGCGTGCCATGCCCCTAGGACATGTGCCAGCCACGCCCCCGCCTGCTCTCCGCCCTGCCTCCCGCTGGAGCTTGAAGCTCCGCCGCTGCAGCCCAGTATACCTGAAGGAATGTCTCCACCCCGTATAATTTAGCCCGGACACCGAGGTCCAGCTCTGAGGCCCTGTGGTGGTTCCCTCACTGCAAGGTTACAGGGAACCAGGCAGAGTGCCTTCTTGGTAGTGGCGCCCACCCTGTGGAATTCCCTCCAACCAGATGTCAAGGAAATAAACAACTATCTGACTTTTAGAAGGCATCTGAAGGCAGCCCTATTTAGGGAAGTGTTATGTACTGAAGTTCTCACCCTGAGCCAGCAGGGGGATACTGTAGATAGTTATGCAAATAAGGGATCGAAAGTGACGTTCAGTGATTGGATAGTTTTCAGAAAGTTGTTACAGTAATGTTGTACTGGAGCTCTATATAAGCAGGCTGACTGAACCCTTCAGTTCAGTTCTGTCCTGGCCTGTGAATAAACAAGAGCTGTTTGAAGAATCGCTGTGTTGTCTGATATGTTCACCCACAACTTAACAGGAAGTTTTAAATGTCTGGTGTTTTAGCGTGTTTTTAATATTCTGTTGGGAGCCGCCCAGAGTGGCTGGGGAAACCAAGCCAGATATTTATACCCTGCCCATCTGGCTGGGTTTCCCCAGCCACTCTGGGCGGCTCCCAGCAGAATATTAAAAACACAATAATAACTTTAATAAATTATTATTAAATCAAAATTATTATGTGATACAATTTTGGCCACATCCACACCTTGCATTTGAAGCCCTGTCATACCACTTTAAACAGACATAGCTTCTCCCAAAGAATTCTGGGAGTTCTCATGGGACTCCTATTTGCCTCGCAGAGCTACAGTTCATAGAGTGGTTTAACCATCAATCCCTCTTACCAGGGAACTCTGGGAATTGCAGCTCCTTGAGGGGAACAGGGAGGCTCCTTGCAACTCACGGTGCCTGTCACAAATTACAGCTTTGTCATATGTATATTTATGCACTTTCCATGATACCTGCAATGAAGCTGAAGATGGAAATAAGCAGAGGTCTGCTAAGAAAGGGAGAGGAGCAGCGAACAATCCACTCCCATGGCATTGATAATGCCAAAGCTACGAAGGACATAATGAGAGCAAGTATCATGAAGATCCGGGTGATATTCAGGGATACTATAAGGAGAGAGAGATAAAAAGGAGAGATATTGTGAAAACGGAGGCCAATTCTCAGCCTTTTCTCCCCCCTTGCAAGAGCCTGGTCACAGCCACATCAGTTTGTACTCATGGGAAAATTGGTCAGATCTGTCATTTGGCCTTTACATTCACTTGTTCCTTTGGTGCTACTTCAAACAGAACAAATTCAGTGACTTCACATGGAATATACAATTGATTTTCAGTCGAAAGGTATGGGTTACATCCCAATGCTGGCCCTACTAAGGGCAGACCCATTGAAACGGATTCATCTTTGTAAGAACCCATCTGCACGATACATTTAAACTACCGTGACACCATTTTAAACTGTCATGGCTTCCCACAGAGAATCCTGGGAAGTGTAGTTCATTTAGGATGGTGGAAGTTGTTAGGAGACCCCGATTCTCCCACAGAGCTATAAATGGCAGTGTGCTTTAACCAATGGTCCCTCTTCCCAGGGAAGACTCAGAAGTTACCGTGCCCATTGTATAATGTGCAATAGAATAGCTTGTGTACCTTTCTTATTTGGAGACGCATATGATCAAATGTATGCACTCCTATTTCAAGTTCTAACTGGTTTGCCAGCTACAGACCCTTCTGGACAGAAATGACTGGATGGTCACTGCATTCCTTTCCTGGTAAATTCCAGATTGGACTACTGCAATGCACTCTATGTGGGGCTCCCCTTGAAGATGGCTCAGAGGCTGCAACTTGTGCCAAATGTTATCTGGGATGACTGCGAGGACCCATATTACACCTATCCTGAAGCATCTGCATTGGCAGCCCATTTACTTCTGAGCCCAATTCAAGGTGCTTACATCAATGCAGGGGCAGCCAATATCTTGCCCTCCAGATGTTGTTAGAATCCAGGTCCTATTCATCTCTGACTGTTGGCCTGCTATGCTGTTTGGGGCTGATGGGAAATTGAGTTCAATGACATGGCTGCTCCAACATTAATGCAGAAAGGGTAAACAACTTGGGCCCCAGATTGCATTTGAGTTTTAAAAGTAGGAACCAGCTGCTCAGGGCCAGAGTATTTGTACATGCATTGGCAAAGTCCCATGAAATCCAAGAGTTGTGCCCCCATCATCCTTTGGGACATTGCAAGGGATGCTGGGAGGACAGACCACATGCTGCCGCTAATTAGAGTAGCAAAACATTTGAGGACCTCTAGAGCAAGTGTGGGGAACCATCATACCTCCAGATGTTGCTGAACTCCCACCATCTCTAGTCATTGGCCATGCTTGTTGGGGCTGTTCCCCACACCTGATCAAGACCTTTATTTTGCAAAGGAAAATACTGCCCCCATTCTCTCTCAGACTTTCAAATGCATGCTCAAATGACGCAGGTCCTGGTTTGCATCCTTCTTGGATATCCCACCCCTGGCTGCAATTTGTCACTGAACATGGATAACGTCTTTTTGCATGCCTGGATGGAGGTCAGAGAGGGATGTGCAGGTGTCTGTGGAAGCTAGGCTCTTGTACAAAGATAACATGGTGCCCCACCCACTTTTGCCTCTGGCCACTCCCACATGTGGCCCCCCAAAAAGGTTGAGCTAACAACAGTTCCCTAACCCTGCCATATACCATACCATCACGAGTTCCTGTGGGTTGGCATCCATATTTGTCTGAGCAGAGGAGCCAGAGTCCTATAACAAAATGGTCCACATCTGCAATATACGAAGTCCAGGTGGGAGATGCATGGGCGATGACGAGTTGCAGAAAATTAATCATGGAAAAGAGAATGCTGGTGCTTCTGTAGAAAGGACCCGAGGCCACGAATGGCATCTCCACAATTTCCTTCCAAGCTAATCTTCCTTTTGCCTCAACTGCAGCCTTAGACAGATAGAGGGGATCTGGCAAGGGAGGTCTGGAACAGGAGGGACACCCTCCACCCCACCATGGGGATAGCAGCACCCAGTTCTTGCCAAGGGTGGCAGTTTTATACACCTCCCTCCACTCTGGCCTCCAACTGCCATGGAACTTCCATTCTGCTTCTGGAACAGAGCAGTTTGGAATGGTTCCCAAGAAGTTATGACTGAACCACCTTTGAGATGCCAGGTCATTGCTAAGGAATATGGGGAACTGACTTAGGCATGTTTGACCCAATGCTCTACAATGTCTACATGGCCTGGAACCCAGCAGATGTCTTGGACTACAATTCCCATCAGCCCCAGCCAGCTTGGAAGTTGTAGTCTGGAACACCTAGAACAGGGGGTGGAGATTCTGTGAATCCCCCACGTCAGGTGGAAGGACACCGAGTTATACTTGGTCAATTGGCTGTTTACTGTTCCCTTAAGTCAGCCTTTCTCAACCTGTGGGTCCCCAGATGTTGTTGAACTACGACTCCCATCACCCCTAGCTAGCAAGGCCAGAGCTCAGGGATGGTGGGAATTGTAGTCCAACAACATCTGGGGACCCACAGGTTGAGAACAGCTGCATTAAGTGGAGCTGAGGCAGTCTCAACACAGATGCACGCTCTTCCCTTCCCTTGTCCTAAGAGAAACCCTCCTGTAGGCTTATCTAAAGAAGCCCTGCCAGGGCGTTCCATTGAATGCTGTCAATGAATCAGCTGAATCACCAGTACTTGTGTGGAGCTGGAATTCAATCACCAAAGGTTCAATGGGCAATAAGGACACAGGTCTGGTCTGTGCATAATGCTAAGCCATCCTTCACCAACTTGGCCCCTTTCACTAACCGGGCTCTTTGCTCAACCCTTAGGCCAGGTGTGGGAGAACCTTTGGTTCTCCAGGTGTTTCTGAACTACAACTCCCATCATCCCTGGCCATTAGGCATGCTTACTGGGGCTGGTGGGAACTGTAGTTTAGGTTTCCTCTTAGGTCAAGGAAAGAGAGGAGAGTGTGTCTCTGGGAAGATTGGTTGGGCTCCACTTAAGGGAACCGTGAAGAGCTCATTCACCATGACTGATTACAACTCAGTGTCCTTCCAGCTGCAGCGGTGGAGGGAGAACTTGAGAGAAGAAGAGGGTGACAGTTACATAGCTTACCCTCAAAGCTCATCAAGACCCAGGCTAGGTGCACACTGTTACTTATCTGCAAACCGAAGATCAAAGGGGAAAGATAACAAGAGGCGTACATTCTGTGCTGTGCTTACAAAGTACCCTGGTGCTGTTAACAAAGTACCCTTAAAATACAGTTTTTTCTGTGAATAGCAGCTACCTGCCTCTTGCTTTTTTGGGGGGGGGCACTCAGGGGAATGAGGGGCTAAATCAGCCCTCAGCTATTGTTGGAATCCAACTCCCATCAGCCACTGCAAGAATGGCCATCGGTCAGAGATGATAGGAGCTGTGGTCCCGCCATATCTGGAAGGCTCCAGATTCTGCTTCCCTCCACTAAACAGCTGAAGAAGAACTGTGAGGAAAAACTGTTTTAATTGGGGTTGATTTGGATGGGGAAATATTTAAGTACCATGGGTGGCGCTGTGGATTAAACCACAGAGCCTAGGACTTGCCGATCAGAAGGTCGGCGGTTCAAATCCCCGCAACAGGGTGAGTTCCTGTTGCTCGGTCCCTGCTCCTGCCAACCTAAATAGGTACCGCTCCGGCGGGAAGGCAAATGGTGTTTCCGTGCACTGCTCTGGTTCGCCAGAAGCGGCTTAGTCATGCTGGTCACATGACCCGGAAGCTGTAAGCCAGCTCCCTTGGCCAATAAAGCAAGATGAGCACCGCAACCCCAGAGTTGGCCACGACTGGACCTAATGGTCAGGGGTCCCTTTACCTTTTACCTCCACAACTGATTTGGTTTTCTTGTTGGTACTGTACTTGGTTTTTTTTGGGGGGGGCAGATTTTATATCGGATTTTTTTTGTATATATTGTATTATGCTTTATTATGTGATTCACTCACCTTGTAAATATTATTTTCCCATACTTCTGTGAATTTCAAGAATCCTCCAGGCATGCTTCCAACTTCCTCATATTCCTCAGCGGCCCCATTTTGGCTACAAATGTACAGCCCTTTTCACCCAAGTTTGATATTAGAAGGATATTGAACCTGCAATGCAGGTTCAATCTACCTGCCTAAAGGTACCCCTGACCATTAGGTCCAGTCGCGGACAACTCTGGGGTTGTGGCACTCCTCGCGCTCTATAGGCCAAGAGAGCTGGCGTTTGTCCGCAGACAGCTTCCGGGTCATGTGGCATGACTAAGCCGCTTCTGGTGAACCAGAGCAGTGCATGGAAATGCCATTTACCTTCCCATCACAGTGGTACCTATTTATCTACTTGTTCTTTGACGTGCTTTCAAACTGCTAGGTGGGCAGGAGCAGGGACTGAGCAACGGGAGCTCACCCCGTCGCGGGGATTCGAACTGCCGACCTTCCGATCTGCTAGCCCTAGGCTCTGTGGTTTAGACCACAACGTCACCCGCGTCCCCATCTATCTGCCTAGTTATTTATAAATATAAATATACCCTACACACACACACACACACACCATCACACAGACAAAATGGAGAGGATCCCAATGGCATAACAGGAAAGTATTCTGGTCAGTAAAGGGATATTTAATAGCAATAGATGGGGTGGGAGGTACACGTCTATCCATTGAAGTACAGTCAGCAGAAACATATTGAGTGAATGGATGTTTAACATAGGGGACGAGAGTCCAGGTAACAAAAGGAATATTTCATTGATCAAGAAAAGTGCTCCTGAAGTAAAATGTTCTCCAGTGTTGCTGAGTAGCACAAAGCAAGGAAGGGAGATCTTCAGTAGTTCCCAAAGTGTTCAGAAAATCAAAGAGTCCTCCCAACTGGATGGCAGAGGACATCTCAAAGAAGCTGGTGCAGATGGTGAACTGCCCTGCAAGGATGAGGCTCCTCCACTGAGCATGCGCACACGATGAGATGAATTTGGACATTAAGAACCTGGTTCGTTCAGAGCAGAGAAGGCCGCACAGCCTTATGTCTTTCTGGAAGCAGCACAGGTGTTTCGATATCCGGGCCAACGTGAGTGGTTGACGTTCCTGTCCCCCACACTGAGAACTTGTAGCACAAGAAGTTGTAAATACCTGGGAGAGAAGTGGTGGAAAGAGGCTTAAAATTGTGAGGAGCACTCCGCAGGTGTTTAGCACCAGCAGACAGTGGCTGCCTCCATTGTGAGATGAAGGGGCACCTCTCTGGCAGCCAACTAGCCATGATGGCATTGCGCTGCCTCCACTGTCGGAGGCAGCCATGCATCTGAATAGCCATGCAGGAAACCACAGGAGGGGAAAGGGCTCTTGTGCTCAAATCCTGCTTGCGGGTTTCCTGCAGGCCTCTGGTTGGCCCCTGTGGGAACAGGATGCTGAACTAGATGAAATGAAATGAAATACTTTATTGTCACTTGTACAACTTGTATACAGTGAGATTACACGAGCACCCCCCACTCAGCTCTCTTAGTCTTAATTCCCCTTACTGACGCACGCCCACCAAACCCGAAAGTCAGTTGCCCTGTTGTTATCTTTTCATTCAGCAGCCTAACAGCCCACGGATAGAAGCTGTTCTTTACCCTGTTGGTGCGACTAATCATGCTTCTATATCTTCTGCCCAAGGGCAGGAGATCAAGAAAGTGCCAGCCAGGGTGTGAATCATCCCTGAGAATTTTCCTCTCTCTCTTGAGGCAACGTTCTTCCTCAATGTCATCCAGTGGATTTACGGGACAGCCCATAATATCTTGTGCTGTATTCACCACCCTCTAGGCACTTCCTATCAGTTGAGGTCAAACCAGCGTAGCACACCGTGATGCAGTATGAAAGGACACTTTCTATTATGGACCAGTCGAAGGAGATCATCAAACGTTGATTGACATTGTTCTTTCGCAATACTCTGAGGAGATGGAGCATCTGTTGGGCTTTCTTAACCACCTGGGTTGTATTGATTTTCCAAGTAAGGTCTTCACTGAGATAAACTCCTAGGAATTTAAAGGAAGAGACTCTCTCCACACAGCCCTCCCTGATGTACAGCAGGGCTAGTTTTCCATTGGCCTCACCCAGCAGGTTCTTATGTTAACTTGAGGTGCCTGGAGAGCGGCAGACCTCAGACAGATGGGAACCTCAGCATAGCTGCATATTACATATTAAGCCTGGGGCAGGCAAACCTTTTCAGATAGAAGGCCACAGTCCTTTCTGAGCAACATGCCAGTGGTGGGCTGGACCAGAGGCAAAAGAGGCAGAGCAACTACAGTCAAACCTCGGTTTTTCAATGTCTCGTCTGTTTTGGAAGCCGAATGCTGAAAACCGTGAAGTGAATGCTTCTGTTTTCGAATGCACCTCGGAAGTCGAATGGCTTTCTCAATTTCCCCCATTGAACTTCCTGGCAGCCCTTTGATCCTTGGTTTTCAAATGTTTCGGAAGTCGAACTTCCAGACTTCCGGAATGGATTATGTTCGCAAAGTGAGGTTCTACTGTACAGTGGTACCTCAGGTTAAGAACTTAATTTGTTTTGGAGGTCCGCTGTTAACCTGAAACTGTTCTTAACCTGAGGTACCACTTTAGCTAATGGGGCCTCCCGCTGCCGCCGCCCTGCCGCTGCCGTGTGATTTCTGTTCTCATCATAGTTGTCAACTTTCAGATTTGAAAATAAGGGATCAGCAGCCTCACCTGTCCCAGGGACAGTCTACAGGATATCTAACAATCCGGGACAGCAGCAGGAAGCAGGGGAAACGGCACTGGAATAAGGGAATTTCCCACAAAAAAGGGAATGTTGACAGCTATGGTTCTCATCCTGAAGCAAAGTTCTTAACCCGAGGTACTATTTCTGGGTTAGCAGAGTCTGTAACCTGAAGCATCTGTAACCTGAAGCGTCTGTAACCTGAGGTACCACTGTAATGTAAATTTTACCTTTGTAAAGGAGGCAGGTTCCACACACACTCAAATACCCCTCTCTGTCCTGCACTGAGGCAAGCAAGAGGCATTCTCAAGGCCAATTCAAAGACACCTTCCAACCAGGCAAAAACCCTTGGAAGGAGAAGCAGGGGCTGTGAAGGGTGTAGCCTTGGGAGAGGGGATGTGTCTGAGGCGGAGGAGATGTAGCCCAGTGCCAATGAGAGATGCCTGGGGCCCACATTTGGCCCCTGAACCTGACATTCCCCATTCCTCTCTTTCTTTCATCCTCTGACGAAAAAGAGGTGTGTATTGCCAGCCTAGTGAAGGGCATCTTTCTCTAAATACACATTTGACCTCACCCGCGGTTTCCTATAGGTGTTATATGATCTCTCAAGCACGCACACAAATATGGCAGTACAGTGGTACCTCGGGTTAAGAACTTAATTCATTCCGGAGGTCCGTTCTTAACCTGAAACTGTTCTTAACCTGAGGTATCACTTTAGCTAATGGGGCCTCCTGCTGCCACTGCGCCGCCACTGCGCAATTTCTGTTCTCATCCTGAAGCAAAGTTCTTAACCCGAGGTACTATTTCTGGGTTAGCAGAGCCTGTAACCTGAAGTATCTGTAACCTGAAGCATCTGTAACCAGAGGTACCACTGTACTGTCATGAGCTCTGTGGTGGTGTCTTGGAGCGAGTGGTCAGATCAGGAGGAGGGTTGGGAGGAGCTTGGATGTGAGAACCATACAACCCTGAGAAAGGTCCCAGCGGGGTTTGGAAGGCAATGCCTGTGAAACAGTTTCAGTGGCAGAGGAGAAGGTCTGCAGGCAGGGAAGCAAGGATGTGGCTCCTGGAGAAGGGCTGCCTCACCCGCGGTTGCCCATAAATCACCCCTGAGTTTGAAAGAAGGAGGGGGTGGGAGCACTGGGCGGAAAGCCCTTGTGCGAGCTCTGGAGTGCCTGGACGCCGCTTTCAAGAGCGAAACTAGCTGCATTGCTTAAGATAAAAAAAATTGGAGAAGTAAATGCACATGTTTCGAGTGAGGTCAGGAGTGTATTATCTGCTAAATAAATCTACTACTGAGAAGATAGAGTGATGGAACAGAATGAACAGAGGACTGCATCAAGGAATCACAGCCATGTCAGTATGTTGAACGGAATGGAAAGGGTGGGGGGAAACTTTCTTCTTTTTCAATATGATTTACCTAACAACCCCCCCCCCTTAGAAGAACCGTCACAATGACTGATAGCAAGTGAGACTGAAAAATAAACTGTGCGGAAATAAAAAATACTAATAAAAGGTTTTACTCTGTGAAAGATCTGGAAAGAAGGGAGGCTTTCTTGTGGCGTAGTTACAAAAGCGATTCGCCATTAAGAGGCAGACCTTGTTGCAAGATTTGCAGTCTTGGGGGGGGGGGTGAGCCACTGTTCTGTTATCAGGTTTGGATCGTAAATTTGAAAGGGCAATAACCCTTCTGGAAAGACTGGTTTATGGTGCAACTGGTCTGGGAAAATTAAGGAGCGGACGCCTAGACTGTATTTCATCGGAACTGACTAAAATGGCGACTGCTGCTTGAACAGGACTTTTGGATTCTTGGATCTATGTGAGATGAATTACGGGAGAGCATTACAAAGTTCACACAGAAATATAAACAAGGCTGTTTCTTTCAACTCGCTTGTGGAGACAACTCGAAGGTTATTAAGAAGAAAAAGGATAACGACAAGGAGATGAGAAGATGGGACTGTGAACATCAAAGCAGCAGAAATATAAGATGATTGGACTCCTACCGAACTCGAAGCATGGGTACCCCCCACAAAAAAATTAAAATTTGGTTTAATATTTGGACTTTGTGATATGTATTGATATAATTCGGAATAATTAATATGATATGATTGGTTTGGTAAATGGAAATTTAATAAAAATTATTTGCAAAAAAAGAGAGAAAGGTTCCAGCGGGGTTTGGAAGGCAATGCCTGTGAAACAGTTTCGGTGGAAGAGGAGAAGGTCTGCAGGCAGGGAAGCAAGGATGTGGCTCCAGGAGAAGGGCCAAGTCGGTTGTGAGGGAAAGATTGCACCCCTGTGTTATATCAGGCACTCTTTTTTGGGGCTCCTCCTGCTACAGAGCCACCCCGGACACCATGCTAGCACTGAGCCTTTCTCCTCCTCAGAGGTGCCTGGTGACAAATTGGAGACTGTGTGGTACTCCCTCCATTGCATAGACCTTGGAGATGCTGGTACCAATGTAAACAGACTGCCCGATCCATTAAAAAAGTGTGTGTTGGATTGTCCCGTCTCTGAACTCATAGAATCATAGTTCATAGGCCACCTTGTAAGTAAATGGGCTGAGCTCTTGAGAGCAGGTAGGCAACTGGGGACTCAGCTACATTAGTAAAGAAACAATGATTTGAATGCACTATAAACATAATTTATACACGTTTTTCCATATATTTTTTAAACGATCTAATTTCTGACTTATTTATTGTGGGGGTTTTTCCTGTGTAGCCTAGCAGCCTACAGAGCCAATCTGGCTCCCTTTCCTTTCTTTGGCCCACCAGAGAGTGACATACCAACACAGGAGATTTCACAATATTAATTTTAGCCTTTCAGGAATAATGTTCATCCCTTCACACTCACCTGTCAAGAAACACAGGATGCAGATGGCACAGCTTAAGTAGAAAGCCCATTTCTTAGCAGGAGGCACAGCTGTTGATAACTGGTTGACTTTGATGTGAAACACCACCACAGCAACCAGCACAAAGATTCCTGTGGAATTGATTGATTGATTGATTGATTGACTGAGGTATTCCTGTCTCGTTAAATATCAAGGCACCTTTAAAACATAAAGCACCATATATACGTAGAGATTGTCGGGATCTCCGCTCAACCAAGCTGATAAAGCTCATTTTCTTCCCCCGAGCCGTTCGGAATCGCCTCCTGACGAATAATGACCTGAGCCTTTGATAAGGCCTCAGGCACATTCTTCATCCAGCAGAGTTTCCAGCACAGGTTGTAAGCAAAGCACAAAGCACTTGCAGTTGAAGCTGCAACATGCTAGAGAATGTGTTCAGAAAGGACTCGTAATGGTGTCCTACATACCAGGTAACGAAATTCCTGCTGATTTATTGTCCAAGGTTGTTCCAAGGGATCAACACTGTACCTATGTACAGAAATTGGGTTTGTACTGAGATTGTACTGACACGCTGCTCAGTGGCGTTCACAGAAACTAACAGAGATAATCATTAAGGGGATGGGCTAAACAAAAATCAAATTGCTGTAAAGGCTTTGCTGGCACAAAAACATATTCAAGAGACACCTGAAAATCAAAAATGAGGATGCTTGCCAGATCTCTGCTAGAAGAGCGTTCCACAGCATGAGACTAGCGACACTAAATGACCGCCATCTAGGTGAAGCCACTTGGACCTCCATAACATGGGAGACAGCCTTGACTGAGTTGGGAAATAAGGTCTCAAACCGTCTTTAAGGTATCCTGGAGCCCAGCTTTAAGCACAAGAACCAGGAAACTGACCCCATAGTATACCAGTGATGTCTTAGCCAAAGTGTCAAATGCTACTGGCCAATAGCCATCTGCCCCCATCAGCAGTCCAGCCACTGCACTTTCCAGTTATAGCCATAGCTGGCATGCCAGATGAAGCGGGCAAAAGACAGTCTTAGCCACAGGGGTCACTTGGGCCTCTAATGGCAGGTATGTAAACAGGAGAGTACCCTCCAGCTCTGTACCTGCTTCCTTAGAGGGATGGAAACCATGTCAGAACAGGCGATGGGCCCATCTTGCAGACTCAGGAATCACCCACCCACCTGTAGGGTCTATTGGCCCTCATCCAGTTCACCGCTGCAATATGGCACCAGTGCAGGGCTTGCACAACCTCTGCTGATTCAGAAATTGTGGAGAAATAGAGATGTGCGCTCCAAAATGCCAGATAACTGCTCCCAACAGCTTCATATACTGCAGACAAAATGGTGGCCTGCAGGACACACCTCTCAACTGTCTCGTTTTGAGCAGGACATCCTGGAATTACAGAAGCCACCCCAGCTTCTGATTGGATCCTGGAATATCCTCCTTTTTTGTCTGGCATCGGGACAGAGCGACAGACCAAAAGATCCGGGGTGGGGGAAGGTTCGTGCTCTCGCACGAATCATTGGCTTGCACCAGGGCACCACACCAAAACTAATTCCATGCAAAAAGTGATAGGACGCAAACAACGGCCACCTAAAATTTATTCAGTTCACAATGGTACCTGCAAGGAAGTTGAAGATGGAAGTAATCAGGGATTTGGGAGGAAAGCAGTAGTTGCAGTGGATGACGTGGTCCCATTCCACTGTCCATAGCATAGCTGAGACAGATGCAAGTGTTGCTAGCACCATGAAGCATCGGATGAGGTCCAGGTGCACTAAAAGAAGAAGGGGGAAGTTTGTGAAAGTTATTCTTCTCTTCAATCATCCAAAGTTGGGGAGGAGTGGAGGTTTGGGTAACTGGATAGGTGGGGCAACAAAGATTTTATTCTATGGCTCTCTAGTTGTGAGGTGTGGTCGGCAATGGGTCTGAATCAATTCATAACGACACAGATTAAACAAATATATTTCCCAGGGTTTCTGCCCCCCTCCCCCAAGAAAAACCCTGTGGGAGCGTGTCATTATACAAAGCAGTTCCCTTTCCTACGAAATTTAGACCTGCAGCAGTCAAAACGAGGTGTGGTATTTGAAATAATGTGGTATAAAGGGAGAGCCTGTGTATCTCCCATGAAAAAACATGTAGGACTTAGGAGCATATCTCTCCACAGAGGTGGGGGGGGGCAAGGGGGCTGGCAAAGGATGAACCATAATCCACAGATTGCCAGCTTTAAGAGAGAGGGAGGATTTCTAACATTTGTAGTGCCTGAGATTTAAGACAGGATATTCTCAGAGTGGTTTAACAATCAGTCACTCTTCTCAGGAAACTCCGGGAACTGCAAGTCTGGGAGGGGAAGAGGGAGTCTCCTAACAGCACTCAGCACCCATAATAACAAATCACAGCTCCCAGAATTATTTGGAGGAAGCCATGACTTTTGAAAATGGCACCACAGTGCTTCAAATGTACAGTGAATACGGCGTTGTGTCATGTCTGTGTTGTTTTCCGATAAGCAGCTAGGACCTTTGGGCAAGGTTTTTGCTGCTTTGGGTGAGACAGAGTCCTGGGCATCGTGGTAAGCGATGCAGCAGCAAACAAGCATGAAGCTAAAACCCAGGCAACAGTAGAAGATGGAGACATTAGTTGCACAGGCACGAACCAACAGGTGGCACTAGGCAGAGAAGTTAGAGGATGCAAGCCGGAAAATACAGCTAGTTATGTTTTATCTCTTCCAATACAGTGGCTTGGCTCTCTGTCAATCCTACATGATGTCAGAGAGGGGACTATGTCCCCTATAGTGTTCAAACACCCCCAAAAAGCAAGGAATCCAATCTAGATAGCCCAGTTCCTTCAGCCACAGCGTTTGGGTACATTCAGATGTGGGGAATACTGTGTTAGTTTTCCTGATTATAACCCTAGCAGCACCATTTTCTAACATTCTTTTCACATTGCAGTACTGTGGCATTAAGGAGCCATGACTTTTTGACCAATATACCTGCAGGTCATGCTAAATTTCTCTTGCACCAGTGGACGTGGTTTGACCCAGCAATGAATGTTACTGCACCCCACTCTTAACAGTCAACCCTTTTCCCCAGGGAACTCTTGGACTAGTAACTTCCGTACACAGCAGCCAGTTGAAGAGGCAAAATGTTTTGCTCTGGGCCTCCAGACTAGAGGTGAAGAACTGATAGTTGTTGGGACCTTCAGCTACCACCAGCCCCAGCCAGCATGGCCAATGGTCAAGGATGATGGGAGCTATAGTCCAACAAAACCTGGAATGCTGTCAGTTCTTCATCCCTGCTGTGGATAATTTGGCTACTTTGCAACAGAGTTCTTTCTTTTCTTTCTTCTTTCTAAAGGGTGCTTCAAATCACAATAAATTCAAATTCTACATTCATATGTCAAACAAAACCACAATACTGATTTTCGTTTCGCCCCATCTATCATACCATCATGAGGTCTCAGGGGTTTGCATCCAAATTTTTCTGAGCAGATGGTCCAGAGGCCAGCATGATACTCGTCTACTTGAGAGTCAGTCATCATCCAGCCATGAGATGCATGGACGATGAAGAGCAGAACAATGTGGATGAGGGAAAGTGAAAAACCTATGGCCCTGTGAAGAGACATTGGGCCTAAGTTTGGACAGGCTTTGCTTGTATTTGCCTTTAACCCAATCCTTGCCTTGCCCTAGAATTACGCAGGAGGTGGGGGCAGGTAAAGTACAGAGCAAGAAGGGTCCTGGGATAATGTTTATTTCCCGTTACTTCTATCATTCTAAGACTCCAACTGCCATGGAACTTCCATGCTCTTGGGAGAACAGAACCTGGGCAGGTTCATATGAGCATATCTGCAATGCTTCACTCAAGTTAAGGCCAAAGAGAGGTTGGGGGGTGGAAACAAGGAACGGGCCTTTTCTGTGGTGGCTCTTCGATTGTGGAATGCTTTCCCCAAGGGAGGCTCGCCTGGTGCCATCATTACATGTCTTTAGACACCAGGCAAAAACATTCCTCTTTACCCAGGCCCATGGCTATTAAATAATCTATGTCCTGTAGAAGTGTGGGTATTACTATAATTTCACCATTATGCTGTCTGTCAATATGCTTTTTACTGTGTTTTTATCACTGAGGTCTTGTAATGTGTTTTGAATGTTGTATACCACCCTGAGATCTTTTGATAAAGGGTGGTATATAAATTGGAAAAAGAAGGAGGAGGTAGGAACTGTAACTACTAGCCTGGGTGTAAGGGGATATTATATAGGTAAAGGTAAAGGGACCCCTGACCATTAGGTGCAGTCATGGCCGTCTCTGGGGTTGCGGCACTCATCTTGCTTTATTGGCCAAGGGAGCCAGTGTACAGCTTCGGGGTCATGTGGCCAGCATGACTAAGCCACTTCTGGTGAACCAGAGCAGCGCACGGAAATGCCGTTTACCTTCCCGCCAGAGCGGTGCCTATTTATCTACTTGCACTTTGACGTGCTTTCGAACTGCTAGGTTGGCAGGAGCAAGGACCGAGCAATGGGAGCTCACCCCATTGTGGGGATTCGAACCGCCGACCTTCTGATCAGCAAGTCCTAGGCTCTGTGGTTTAACCCACAGCGCCACCCGCGTCCTGTAGTTCATTTCATGCAGTGATAGAGAAACTTTTCCCTCCACCAGCAGACCAAAACTGTTTCTGACCTACCCATCCTGGGTTTAATTTAACAGTTGGGTGGATGACAAATTCCATCACCTGACGGCACAATGACCCTCTTCCAGCACACCTTCGCAGAGGGTTGCTCCAAGATTAGGAAGGTGGTGGCATTGAAACCCTTGCTGAAACAGAGCTTCCCCCCTCCATTTTAGAAGGAGTTCCCATGCAAACTCTTTTCTGATTCTGGAGCAAGGCAGACTCCTACTTGTGGGAAGGCTCAGGGTGGCAGGAGATGATATAGTGTTTATTAATATCCTTCCTAACTTGGGCCAGCAAGTTCCTTTACTTAGCAGAGTGCACTGCCCCTTTACACAGCAGAAAACTAGTTGCAAACTCGCTTGTGTCTCTTAAGACAATACACAATTCAATCTGGCTTGTCTGGATTGAAATTGAAGGAAGGTGAAGACAGGTGACACCACCTAGGCCTGAAGTCACCCCCCCCAAAAGCAGGCTCAAAGCTTCTCAAAGCTTTTCAAAATCATTTTCTCAGCAGCTAAGCATCTGCTCATTTGCTCTGCTGTTGCAAGGCAAAACCGTTACTTTTATCAGCACGAGAAGGCTTCAAAAGGCTAATGAATAGACTCTGTCATTGCCAAGAATACTCAGGCCTGAGAAACGAATCTTATCTCATTCTAGTTGCAAGACATCTGAACAAGCTGAACGCAAGGATTCTCACCCCCCCCCTTTCCTGGGAAGAGTCCAATAGTCCCAAGACAGCTTTCTGTTCATGCTCAGAGGAACTCATGGGGCAGGACTCCTGAGGGAGGAGAAAGGGGGAGGGAACTAGAAAAGGGTATATATGCTTGTGCACATGGCTGTGAACTTCTTGCATGCTTTTTGTGCCTTATCACACTTGCTCCTTCTACCAGTTCATGGATGGTAGAAATAAAAACTTTTTCTCCGAAACTATTCCTTGAGTGTCTGTTGACTCCCACTTCCCTTTCCCAGGCGCAATATTTTCCCCACCCGAGGGCAAAGCCTCATAAGGCTACAAAATGTCTTCTCATATTTTCCTGGTAAGACCCCTTGAATCCATCCTAAAAGAATAAAGACACCACAGTCTTATTCATAAGCAATAAAAATAAAGTTTACTCACAATCAAGCAAAGCACAGTGTGATCCCTGAAGGCAGGCTTTAGGCTTAAAGTTACAAATGTATAAAAACAGGTTTACCCCATAAGGGAGATGACCTGGGGGGCTGCTTGGCTGGCAGCCAGCAGTTCAATCCAGGAAGTTTGCAGGACGAAAGGAAGATGGAAAAGAGAGAGAGAGAGAGAGGCAGCATGCCTTGTCCTTTCACCAGGTCTGGAAAGGTCACGCCCACCGATTAGTCATATGCAAGGAAGGATGCTCCAGGCCAGGAAGAACAGGAAGTTTCAACTGGCTGTACCAAACATTCCCTTGCATGTCCACTCTAGGAAAACAAGGAATGTTGTATTTGACTGCTCCCAGTGGAAAACATTCCACACCACTGCCCATGCGCTGATGGCTGGGGGGGGGGAGTGCACCTTGTTCCAGCAAATGAGCAAGAGGCCCCACTTTAAGCTCCTTATTGCTCCTTTCAAGCCATGTTGTAGCACCCTGCTTGTGGTTAACGCTTAGCTGGAATGAAATATTCAACGCAGCAATAGAGAAATTAAAATAATAATTTATTTGTCAGACAAATAAATGATAGGCACAGTGGTATATGGTTACCAAAGCTCTGCCTGCCCTCCAGCCCTGATGGCCAGCACTTATATTTCCTCAACCCAGCCCCCTTGCTCCTCCTTTGGCTGCCTCTGTCCAATCAGCCTGGTTGAAATTCCTATTGGCTGTTTGCTAGAACCAATCATAAAAGATACACCCATTTCCTATTATCTTTTATGGGAGACAAAGAGCTATATTTCCTTCTATCCATAAATGGCAGACAAGTAGCCATATATCTTACATTTGCCTCAACAAGGCACCTTAATTACCAGGTCACCTTTTGCCCCTTTTGCCCTGTTACCCCTACATTCCAAAACAAATGGCTAAAACAGATGGCTTGTGGTATTAAGTTCTATCTAAACAGAGATCTTACTATTTACCAACTCTTAATTAGTGTTTTTGCAGCTTGATTGTATTCTGTAATATGTAGGGTCAGTGTAACCTTTGCTCCCAGCCTGTATTTCCCTTTTACAACCTTGAGAAACCTGTCTCCTGCTACTACTATAAATCAGGGGGGCCCTTGTCCAGGAGGATAAACAACTGCCAAAGTCCTTATCCAGCTGGTTTTCTGCCTGGCATGAAACATTTGCAAATCTTTAAGCTCATTTTAAAATACAGGCCTTGATCAGATGCCTCAATGTGGGTACCTGCCCCCATACACATAATCACATCGGATGACAAATTCTGCCACCTGATGCTTTGCAGCCACATTGGGGAGCTTGGACCCTAAGGCCAGCATCAGCAAGGGCTCCCCGAAGTCTCCATAATGTTATATGTGCATTAATACATGTGTTTAAGAGAGATGCAAAGGAGCTGAAACCTGCTGCAAAGTCTACAAAATTTGGATCTATGAACAGAATGACAGAGAATTCCTATGCATATTTAATTCAGGGAAGAAGAAGAAGAATGCAAGGAGTAAGTAACTTTAAACTGCCAAATCTTCGGTGGCGGTGGCGGTGTGGGGGCGAGAATAAATTGCAAATAATTCTGGATGCATTCCACATCCATGCTGAGAAAGCTCAGCCTTTAGCCCCTTCCGTTTCCAAGGAATAGCTGCCGTTTGGCATCCCTTGGGGTACAACATTGTCCTCAAGCTCTTCTTCTATTTCTTGGTACACTTGATAAAACAGGATTCCTATAGCTGTGGGAGAGAGAGAAATGTTCGTCAGAATGTCAGGGGGGAGAGGAAATAATTTCCTCCAGTTCCAAAGTTCAGGCAGTAAGCATATATCCTTATGCCACCAAAATAGCCCTAGGGATGTAAGAAGGCGCCATTTTCCTTCCACCCAGTATTCATCGCATGCGGTACACTTCCTTCTCTGCTGCAGTTCATCTCCCACCAGAAACTATTTTATTCAGTGTGCCCAGTGTGTGGCGAAATGCGGTAACTTACATAATATACCGTATTTTTCCCTCTATAACACGCAGATTTTTTCTCCTAAAAAGGAAGGGGAAATGTCTGTGCGTGTTATGGAGCGAATGTGTGGTCCCTGGAGCCAAAAAATCAAGCAAAAGTCAAATCGCTCTTCACGGAGAAGGGAAACCTGAAAAGAGGAAGTGGCAGCTTTCCTGCATTCTGCCTCAGGGTCTTACTGCCCACCCTCCTCTGTTTCGTTGCTGTGATTGCTGAAATGGAACAAAGAGCAGGGAAAGCCCCTCCAGGCAAGCAGAGGGGAAAGTGTCGTCTCTGTGCTCCGGTACTGCTGGGAGAGAGGGAGAGAGAGTGGGGGAGGGAGAGGGAGAGGGAGAGGGAGAGGGAGAGGGAGAGAGAGAGAGAGAGAGAGAGAGAGAGAGAGAGAGAGACGGCTGGCTTGGGGGGGAACTTTTGCCTCCCACCCGTTAAATCCCTCTCCAGCATTCTTAGCCAGCTGCTTCTCTGCACACCCCTCTCATGTCCCTTCTTTGTTTTTCCTTCGCTCCCCACTTAAAATGTGGTTAAAAAGCATGGATCCACATGGATCCTCAGGATCTTTGCATTGGGTCACCCCAAATTCACCATCAGATCACATAGCATGTCCATGGCTACAGCCTGCACCAAAAAATCACGCACCCACTGTTGCCTGGGGCTGCAATGGTGCAACACGTGGTTGAAAAGCATGGATCCACATGGATCCTCAGGATCTTTGCATTGGGTCACCCCCAATTCACCATCAGATCACATAGGCAAGGTCCATGGTACAGCCTGCACCAAAAAAATCCAACGCACTCCACTGGGTTTTGCCTGGGGACTGCATGGGTGCCAAAAACGTGGGTTAAATAAGCATGGATCCACATGGATTCCTCAGGATCTTTGCACTTGGGGTCACCTCAAATTCACCATCGAGATCAACATAGCATGTCCATGGCTACAGCCTGCACCAAAAAAATCACGCAGCCCACTGATTGCCCTGGGGCTGCAATGGTGCAAATCACGCACCCACTGTTGCCTGGGGCTGCAATGGTGCAAAAACGTGGTTAAAAGCATGGATCCACAGGATCTCAGGATCTTTGCATTGGGTCACCCCAAATTCACCATCAGATCACATAGCATGTCCATGGCTACAGCCTGCACCAAAAAATCACGCACCCACTGTTGCCTGGGGCTGCAATGGTGCAAAAACGTGGTTAAAAAGCATGGATCCACATGGATCCTCAGGATCTTTGCATTGGGTCACCCCAAATTCACCATCAGATCACATAGCATGTCCATGGCTACAGCCTGCACCAAAAAAATCACGCACCCACTGTTGCCTGGGGCTGCAATGGTGCAAAAACGTGGTTAAAAAGCATGGATCCACATGGATCCTCAGGATCTTTGCATTGGGTCACCAAATTCACCATCAGATCACATAGCATGTCCATGGCTACAGCCTGCACCAAAAAAATCACGCACCCACTGTTG